AAAAAAAAAAAAAAAAAAAAAAAAAAAAAACAGTATAATAAACCAGAATGGTTTTTAATATTTCGATCAATTTTGTCGTAAACACGAAGGAAAAAGTGGTTTCCGACGTGACCCGAACCTTTATATTATTATTAGATATATATTATTATTATGGTAGGTATATGCATTAGGTTATATAGTTTAAATTTGGGACCAAAATTCATCTCGTCTAACCGGTTGACGGCAATATGACGAGTATATCATTATAATATAGTTACTGCACTCATACATATACTCTTTGCGGGATCAGTTGCGATTCTCTTCAGGTGTGTATACACCATACAGTATATGTATGCATACATTTTAAGTATGTATCATGTATGTACATCATTAGACATACCCAATCGTGAGATCGTATAATGTGTAATTATTTTCTTGAAATTATAGTTAATATAGGTATGATAATATATCGATGGAATATTATATGCATAGTGACGATGGGGTCATGTTTATGGCTATGATGGATCACCTAATGGAAAATTCGTTATTTTATCTTATTTTTTATATAACCTTTAGATTTKACTAAAATCTCTAAACTAACTATGATGAGAAACAGTTGGCACGGGAGGAGGTGTATAATACTCTGACTAAAATTGGTCTGTGTTTTACTGGTTTAGATAATAAACTAATTTTGATCCATAAACTCTAAATATATTCAGGTATTATAGGTTTAAGGATAAGCTTACATTGATCCCGTGTAACAGTTACTAAATCGTGGACTAAATATGCTGTTGCAAGGTCGGCTTGCAACTTGGGCGCAGTTGTTACAGTTATATTATATAAAATACTTTATGTGCATACATCCATGCAAATATCTGCACGTACCAACCGTCTTGTTTAATCAACGTAAAATTATATTGTGTGGAAAATAGTACAGGTATAGACTATAAGAACGTCRGAAAGATAATTTGTAGTTGGTGATGTTATTAATTTTAGCAAACAGGAAATTGATCAAAATAATGTAACACTCCACAGCGTCAAACCCCACATCATCATATCTTCAGTCATCTACCATGATAGATGGTAGATAGACTAACCTAACCATTGCAATGGTTAAAAAATAAATAAATAATTGCAAATTTTTATAATTATTATCCACTTTAGATATATATATATAAGAAGTATTTTAATGGAACAGAGAACGTATGGTTTTCAAATACACACTTTTTCATAAAAAACAAACATATTCCTCACGAGTCGCTCTGTTTTCTGCATCTAATTAAGAAGAAATTACAAAACAAAACGAAGACCATTCGGGTGGAATAATTAAATCATAAAAAATCCACCATACACCTCTACATGTTCATAGACTTATGACTGATGGGATSTCATGCGCTATAAAAATCGTAATAGCGATAGCAATATGAAAATGATTAACTATAAAAGAACTAAGTTTAAAAACACATAATACCATATACATCTAATTTAATTAATACAGATAAACAGACAATTAAAATATTTAAAAAAAATCTTTTCATAAAACAAAGAAAAATATTTGTCTTAAAATCTTACTATCTTGTTTCAAATCTTAACCATGTCTCCGCGATATTTTTTCATGATAGTTGAGAATCGAAGGATGCGTTTGTATGATATCGCATTCGTCAAACAGTSAATCTGCAACGTGATAATAAAATACGCAAACTTCCATTAATATTTGTATGATTATTATACCGCGGTAATGGTCACTAATTTAGCTGTCTATGCGGATCCTCGAACTCCGGTCGAGTGGTCCATAAATTATTATTGTTTTAATTGCGTTACAATAATATATAATATGTATGAACGGGAAAAAACATCGGACTCAGAGAAAACGGCGGCGCGCGGCAGATGTGTCGACGGAGCCGGTGCATTATATTAGAATTGTACGCAATATATTATGTAATAAATAAATGCGCCTTGGACACGCAACGCACTGGCACTGCAATAAAATATAATGCGAACGGCACGCCACACGACTCCGCGTCAACAATAACAACGATGACACGACGATGTATTACTGCCATCGGTCGGTGCTGTGAAAAAAACAGTGATAATTTTATTATTATTATGGTATTATTGAAATCGCCGTATCGATTGCTCGGCGGGTGCGCGCAGGGAAAAAAACAGCCATCGAAGGA